TGTGTGTGTGTGTGTGTGTGTGTGTGTGTGTGTGTGTGTGCGTGCGTGCTTGCGTGCGCGCGCGCGTGCGTGCGTGCGTGGGATAATATAAAAATATTAAATATTAAAATTTTTGATAAATTTTGTTATTATATTTAATATTGTTTGTGATTTTAAATTTCTGAATCCAAGCAATCATCTGGATAATAGATTAGTGGTGTCGCATCGCACTCATCGATTTTTTCGTACGACTTCACCGCTCTCTTTTGAATGTTTAGATGTGGTGTGCTATGCTTGGGGCTGTTGGGTACTGATCTACAAGTAAAGAGTATCCCGGGTGTATTGAAACGAAAACTTTTGATTTCAGAACAAACAAGACCCTTATTACTATGAATCATATTGGCTCGAAACAGCGATACATTCTTGAAATTCGATGACAATTCGTGTTTTATCAATTCTGGTTGAGGTTCCTGATCGTAGAGCTTCTTGACACAGGGACACGAATTGCTGGAGGATTTCCAGTTTTCCATACAGGACGATCGTAACACGCATGAAATCTTCGTTTTGCATAAGTTGTTGTCAGCTATCGATTCTGATTGACTTATCCTGGAACCTTTTTGATCAAGCTGATCTGAGCTGATAAATCGTAAGCGTTTCGGAGAAACGCTGGAACGTCTCACGAAAGTTGATCTGACGAGAGATTTATTCTTTAGAGAACTTCGAGGAACTAGAACATTTGTCACGTTGATTTTTTTACCGCTTTGTTTGCTTGCTCTTTCCTTGCTACGCTTGCTACGTAATAATGGATCTTCTCCGATTAACCAATATGTTAAACGTTCGCCTTTCCCCTTCATGGAAATCACCCCTCGCTCGATAAGATTAAATCCTCCTAGCTGATCTAATAGTTGCTTCGTCTCACAGCTGCACTGAATTTTAAGCGCTACGAAAACGCAGATCAGATTTATGTATATTAAGAATTAAGGTTTTTTTTTTTTTTTAATAATCTCTATATTATTTAGACAAAAATTAAAAATTGAAGCTATTATATACAGCGTGTTTCAAAATTTGCATCTGCGAAATAGTTTTTGCAGGAGAGCAGGTTGAAGTTAACAAATAAACGCAAAAATTATTTATCGGGCACAATTTTGTTAAAGAAAAAAATTGTTTGTTTTAGCATAAAGTATCATGTACTTCGCGGGCGTGAATTTTATATATATATATATATATATATATATACACGTGTATATATAAGATTTTGCAATTTCAATTATTTGTGATATGTTTGTATATTTACATTTATTTTATTTAATTAAATGTACGATGAAAAATATTTTTTAATAATACTCACGTAATCCTGTGGATTCCATACGGCTAGCGGTGTTCACTGTATCACCAAATAAACAATACCGTGGCATTTTCAATCCAACCACGCCAGCGCATACTGGACCTATCATAAAATTATTATTACTAATTGCTATTGGATATTTTATTCGCTTTAAAACATACCAGAATGTATTCCTATGCGAAGTTGTAGTTTATCAAACGGTCTGTGACGAATGGTAAACTGTTTAATGGCATTTAAAAGACACAACGACATGCTCGCTATTTCACTAGCATGCTGAATATCATTTCTTATCGGTAAACCGCTCACCTAGGACAAAATTCGACTGAGACATTAAATGAATTATTGGATAGGTTTTTTAATACACAATTTTCTTGATCACTACAAAGTTGTATTTTAAATAATTGCCATAAGCAATTTTGCTTTCATAGTACTCACCACCATATAAGCATCCCCGATGGTCTCGATTTTATAAACATCATAGTTTTCTATCGTCGAGTCGAAGCATGTGTATAAATCATTGAGAAAGTCAACAATCTGCAAGAAAAAAGTGAGATGTGTAGCTATATATTCTATGTATATGCGAATATACATAGAATATATATATATATA